ACAGCAGGAGACTCCTGCAGAGCTGCCCAGGGGCTGGACACTGGAACTCTAGCTCGCCATCACAGGAGCGAGCTCCAGGCAGCAAGGGCCAAGCCCAGGCCAGGTGGGGCTCGCTCTCACTCCCTCTCTATGCCTGTTTGTCTCTGTTTCTGTCTCTGTCTCTCTGTCTCTGTCTCTGTCTCTCTGTCTCTACCCCTTATTGTCTCAGTCTCTGTCTGTCTTATTTTGCCTTGCCTCTATATCTAAGCCCCAAATCACATTTCTTGTTTTTGTTATAGGCCTCAAAAATGTACAGCTTACAAAATGTCTCAAAAATGTATACAATTTGTAACTTATCAGATAATTAAAGCAAGAAATCCAAGCACTTCCTATTTAAAAAATCCAAATCTCCAAAGCAAGGGCTCTGGTCACAAACCAAGAAGTGTGTCTGGGGTGGAGAAGGTCCTGGGGCCAGGGGACTCCACTGGGTGGAGGCTCCGGGCCACAACCCCAGAGAGGTTGAGGGGCTGGGTCTAATCTGTCCTTCTGCGGAGGGGGATTGCTGGATCACTGGGAGGAAAGGTGACCCCAGATTCCTTTCTTGTCCCCGAGGCTAGTGAACTCAGCCACCGGCTGTCTCAGACGTCCGGCCTCAAGGGGCCAGGGAGGAAGGGGACAGCTTCAAGGGAAGCAAGCAAGGATTGGCTGGCAGGAGTCAGAAAGCGCTCCCACCAGGGAACTCCCCCGCAGGGTAAAGACCCCTCCAGAGCACACACTAGCTGACCGGCCAGCAATGCCTGTGGGGGCGGTTCCAGGCCACCCTCCCAGCCTCTCCTGTTGCTCCAGGGCTGTCGCAGGCCCTCATTGTGCTTGGACCCTCCAGACTCAAGGGCTCCCTGCCCCCTGCCTCCCGGGCCTCCCTGCTTCCCGGGCCTCCCCACCTTCTGGGCCTCCCCGCCTTCTGGGCCTCCCCCCTGCCTCCTGGGCCTCCCCTTGCTGGCACATGTGCTCAGACACACGGCAAACGCCCATGAGCTCTTCCTTTAGCATCTGGGCAGCTGACAGCACGGACTGTGCCTCAGTCAAAAGGGAACAGGGTTAGAAGCCAGCCCAAGCCATGGCCACCGCCCTCATGACCTGTCTGCAACTCCCCAACGCCAAGGATCATCAGCATGTAAACTGGGAGAATCCTTGGTCATCGGGAACCTGCACCATCTGGGAGATGGATTCCTGGTCACCAGGAGACGCCCTGCCCTGCACCCCACCGCTGGGATGGGAGGTCCTTCCCCAGGGAGCTGCTGCGGGACCTCTGGGGGACCCCCATACTCCACCCTCAGAGCCTGCAAACACCACCTGCTGTCTCTAGGTCTCAGGGACATTGGGGGCTGTGCACTGAGCTCAGGTGGGGCGTGAAGTCTCTGTGCCCTCACACGATGGTCGCCTTGGAACTGTGTCTCCCAGAGGCTGTCTCCATGACAGACACCCTCCCAGAGCGGGGCCTCACATAGGGGAGGGGGACGCTCTGGGGCTTTTCTCTGCCTTGGGAGAACAGTGAAGCCTCAGTGCCAAGAACACGGGCACAGACAAAGCAGAGGGGCACAAGCCAGAGCTTGCTTCCCAAACACAGCCGCTCCAACGGGTCAGTGAATGTCCCACCACAGCCATGGACGTGATCCTCATCCAAAGCAATGGGTCCCGGCCCGGGTTTTCCAGGCAGCCCCTGAATCCCCCCACCAGCCCCGCCAAATTTATTTATTTATTTTTTTGGGTTAAGAGATTTTGAGTCCTTAAGTAATCAAAGATGTCAAGAACAGGGCCGGGACTTCCTGACCTTCCCCCTCATGCCCTCCAGACTAATTTTCTTTGCATTTCTAAAATCACAGCGGGATGACACCAACCACTAAACCAAAGGTAAAATTGGTCTCTCTAAGGTCAACAACCTGGCCTCCCCTGGGTGACTCTCACTGTGATTTAAAAGCCGGAGACCTCTGTCCCCAGCCCTCAGAGGGCTCAGGTTGTGCTGGGGCCCGGGGTCGGGGAAGCTCTGTGTTTGACTGGGCTCCAGCACCGGGTGGCTGCCGGGACAGCCCATAGCTCATCCAACAGGGTGCCCGCCCCACCTCCGGGAATTCAGGGAGGTATCTAGTCCTATTTCTGGAGTCCGTAGGACCACACCAGGCACCCATCGGAGCCTGGAACATTCCCTGCCTGCCTGTCCACACACACCCCATATGCAGGCAGGTCGGGAGGAAAGGGTGCTGGTATCTCAGTCCCTGGGCTGGCAGACAAAGGCTGGCAGCTGTCCAAGGCAGAATCGGCTCCAGAAGGGCCTCAGTCACCCTGCTCAGAGGGCTGCAGGTGGCTGGACGCAGGCACTCCAGGTGCTTCTGTGCAGAGCTCGGAAAGAGGAGGGCACCGGCTGCAGCAGCACCACAGCCTGGGCGGCGGCCCAGAGAGGTCGGGATTCCCGGCCTTTACCAGGCTTTACCAGGAGGCAGGGGATCCCCGGCCTTTACCAGGCATTACCAGGGGGCGGGGGATCCCCGGCCTTTACCAGGCGTTACCGGGAAGCGGGGTGGTCCTGGGAGGTGGAGACGCTAATGTGAAGCCTGCGGGTCAGGACCCAAGGCCCCAGCCCCATCCCGGGCACCGCAGTTCCCTGCTGGCAGCCCCCATAGCTCGGCGCCCCGGGCTGCACTAGGAAGCCAGGCCTCGCTCTGAAGTGACAGGGACTTGAATCCCACAAGTAAGGAACAGCTTCAGGATGAGGTGACGCAGACAGTGTAACACCCACCGCCAGCACCCCTCCTCAAATAAACCAGGTGGCTGCGTGAACACTTGCCTCCTTCCGTTTGCTGCCTGTGGGAGGCATGGACAGGCATGAATGGCGGCTGCGGACAAGCGTGTTAACTGGGCCAGAGCCTCCCCTGCACACTGGGACAAGTCCTCCAGTATCAACCCTGACAGCAAGACTGACCTCTGCTGCTCCTGGGTGCAAGCCCAGCACTGGGTGCTGTTCCCCACCTCACCGCTCCCCCACCCCACGAAACCCCTGGCAATGCTGTGTACGGTTCCTAGTGCTGTGGGAGGCTGGAACCCCCACCTCGCCCCCCATGACGCTTCCCCCACTTCACCTCCATGACACTACCCCCACCTCGCCCCCCACGACACTCCCCCCACCTTGCCCCCCATGACACTTCCCCCACCTTACCTCCATGACACTACCCCCACCTCGCCCCCCACGACACTCCCCCCACCTTGCCCCCCACGACGCTCCCCCCACCTGACCCCCCCACGACACCATGTACAGTTCCCAGTGCTGCTGGGGGCTGGAATCGGGAGGGAGCTGGCTGAGAAATACAGCAGCAAAGGGCAAAGGGAGGCACCCTCTGGCTCTCCCTGCACCCCTGCCTTCCTGGAGAGTCTGACACAGGAAGCCCCAAACCCCACCTGCCCTCAGGAGCTCAAGGTGCCCACTCAGGGTCCCCTGGGGGACTCAGGACTTGGTCTAAACACATGAGGTCACAGCACTAAGGCTTGCCCTGCTGGACCCCATCTTATTCCCTCTGCCCCCAGGGTCCTCCTTCCCCACCGCCCAGTGGTCACACAGCCCCCAGGGCACCCCTGAGACGAAGTTAGGATCCTCCTCTTGATGCGGATTAGAGAAGGAAGAGATGGAGACCGGGCATTCTCGCTTCTACTCTGGGGCACAGACGGGGCTGGGGCCACCTGGACTGAGGGAAGCTGGCTCCTGCCCACACTCACGATGGCTGGAAGAGAAACTCGGGCTGAAACCCCAGAGCACTATGTGGGTGGTTGCAGGAAGACTGCTTCGTCCAGAAGCACCCTAAAATCTCACGCTCCCTTCACAGCCCCCAACAAGGCGCTGCAGATCCTGAAGGATGGAGCATGGGTCCCGGTGTCCCAGGCAGGGTCCCCGGCTCACTCACTCCCCCAGACAGAGGCCGGCTTGCTCTGCGGGGAGCCTGGGAGAGGTCAGCTCAGCCCTGTCCTCCACGGACACCAAGAGTGGGGGACACTCAGCCACCGCCCATCAGCACTGAACTCCATCTCCATCTGCCCCGTGTAGCCTTCTTCAGCTTGGCTAGGGACAGGGGTCCAGGCCTTCCCTGTGCCAGGAACCTCAGGCCCCCACTCCTTTGTAGGACTGGATCTGAGTGCTGCCACTCGCTTCCTGGGGCAGCAAAAAGTGCACATGAAGCACCTCGGGTTCCCATGGCTCTTCCATGTGACGCACTCCGGCAGCAGGGTCTATGGAGCCCAGGGTGCTGGCGCAGCCCCACCTCCGCCTGCCGTCTGCATGCATTCGAACTCCAGGTAAGAACTCACATAGATCCAGGGGCCTGCTACTGGATGAATGCTCCCAGAAGCCCATGAAGCCAACCGCCCCACAGAACAGCACAATCGCAGGCGCAGACCTCTGCCTGGGGTTTCAGCCCCTGGCTTCCTCCAGAAAGAATGAGTGAGTGGAAGTGTCTCCTGGGGAAGTGGGGTGTAACTGTATGTAACTGTTAGTGTGCACGTGTGGTATGTGTGTGAGTGGTGCATAACTGTGTGCATTGTGCATGTGTGGTGTGTGCATGTGTACATGTGTGAGTGGTGTGTGTCATGTGTGGTGTGTGCATGTGTACATGCGTGAGTAGTGTGTAGTCATGTGTGTGCTGTGTGCATGTATACATGTGAGTGGTGTGTAACTGTGCATGTGTGTGGTGTGTACATGTGTACATGTGTGAGTGGTGTGACTGTGGGCATGTGTGTGGTGTATGTGCATATGTGTGAGTGGTGCATAACATGTGTGTGGCATGTGCATGTGTACATGTGTGAGTGGTGTGTGACTGTGGGCATATGTGTGGTATGCACATGTGTACATGTGTTAGTGGTGTGTGACTGTGTGCATGTGTGAGTACTGTGTAACCCTTTGTGTACCTTGTGCATGTGTGTGGTTTGCCCGCCCCCTTGACCCTGGGCATCCCTGCAGGTGGGGCCTGAGCAATGCTTACTTCTGACCACACAGAGGCCGAAGAACTGCGTGTCTCTGATGCTCAGCACGTTGCACACTTGCTGGAAAAGCACGAGGCCAGTGGCCTTCACCTGCAAAAGAGGTGAGGAGGGGCTCAGGGAGGGGCCGGCACCTGCCCCTAGAGAGGCCACCTGGGCAAGCAAGGCCCAGCAGAGCACCAGGGGGACGACCCAGTCAGGACCCCCCTGCAGGGAACAGGTCTGGGTTCCTCACTCGCTCCCAAAGCTGAAGACTGAACATGAGCTGCATGCCCATCAGAGCGCATGTGAGTGCGGGGGCGTGAGGGTGGTGGGGCAGGTGCCCTGGACAGTGGGTCAGGGCTGCTCCCTCCATCCCTGTCTGTCCCTGGCGTGAGGATTTCCCGAGACCAGTCAGGGACACATGACGCAGCGTCACCCCCAGGGCATCCCTTTGGGCTCTGTCCTCGCACGGCACAGACGAACGTGTGCGAGCGTCAGCGTCTCATCGTCCATCGTCCACTAGACGTGAGCGACCCTGGCAGCACTCCTGCCGTCGAGCTCTGACAGCAGCCTCCAAACACCAAGCCTGGGGCGTGCCCACATTTCCTGTGTCCCACATGTGCTACCACCTCATACCTGTTCGGGCCCCAGCATGGCTGGGACAGGCGGCGTCGCCCATGCGGAGCTCTCCCTGAGTCCCGGCTGTCACTGCAGCGCTGGGGCCCATCCCGGTCTCCCTGAGTCCCGGCTGTCACAGCAGCACTGGGGCCCATCCTGGGATCACCAGGCAGGAGAGGTGGTGCTCTCGGGAGGAATTGCAGCCCTCACGCCGGTGAGGGGGCACAGGCTGGCAGCCATGCGCTCTGCTCTCAGACTCTCCCAAGGACCCTCACTTGGGGCTCCAGGAGAAAGCATCACAGCAGGGCCCAGCTGGCTGCCGGATCTGCAGAAGGCCATGTCGTGATTCTTCATTTGTATGGTTTCTAGTCAAACGACGTAGCCAGCTTACTAATCCCACGTTCTGTAAGACTGGCTTCATTATTAACGTGGCTCGGCTGTGTCCCCACCCAAATCTCATCCCGAATTGTAGTTCCCATAATCTCTCTGTGTTTTGGGAGGGACCTGGGGGGAGGTAATTGAATCATGGAGGTGTTTCCCCCATCCAGTTCTCATGATAGTGAGTTCTCACGAGATCCGACGGTTTTATAAGGCCCTTCCGCCTTCGCTGGGCACTCATTCTCTCTCCTGCCGCCCTGTGAAGAGGTGCCTTCTGCCATGACTGTAAGTTTCCTGAGGCCTCCCCAGGCATGCTGAACTGTGAGTCAATTAAATTTCTTTCCTTTATAAGTTACCCCGCCTTGGGTATGTCTGTATTAGCAGTGTAAGAACAGACTAATATGGTTACTGTCTGCTTAATGTGGTGAGGGGGCAGGCAGGCAGCCCCACAATGGCAGTAACACAGATCTGCAGGAAGGGTCTTCCCAGCCCATCCCTTTCTAATAGGCTTGATACATGTTTGGTTGAACAGGGGGTCCCTAACTACAGACACAGTTGTGCACACACCCCAATAGGGGGCCCTGTCTAAATGCAGACACAGATGTGTGAAACCCTAATGGGGGTTCCTGTCTAACTGCAGAAATAGATGCTCGCACACCAATAGGGGGGTTCCTGTCCTACTGCAGACACGGATGTGCGCACACCCCATAAGAAGCGGGCTCTGTGGCTGCCAACTTGGAGGGCGCAGGAGGGGGCTGCAGGAGCCACAGATGCACTTCAGGGGGCTCCATCAGAAGCAGATGGGCATGATTCAGCCAGAGGGCTCACTGTTCCGGCTGCATGATCCCTCAGTTAAAATCTTACCGTGAACTTCAGTGCAAGAAACATACAAGTACCAGCACTCACAGGGCAGGGGGCCAGTGCCCCAGCATCTTCCCACAATGAGTCCTCTTATGACCCCTCCACCAAGCCTGAGGCACAGCTGAGGGCCCCAGGAAACTACGGGACACCCCCTCATCGGCTCAACACCAGCTTCTCATTGCCGGGTGGGAACATGAGGCTTGGGGGAGACTTTGCTGCAAACATAGATGTGGGTGTTTACTTAAACACAGAACCGTATCCCCAAGCAGACGAGAGATTCCCAGGGGACTTGAACAAAGATACTACTAGCAAGTCATACTTCATTCCAGGTAGCGTTCAACCACGTTCAAAAGGGAAGCTGGTAAGTTAGCCATGCAGAAAGTCATTGTTCTTCCGCACACCACTCACTCTAATTGCCACATTTTCATTATCCACATTAATCCTTAAAATGAAAGTACTATCTCAGCTCCTGTCCCGGTAAACTCAACTAAAACAGACAGACAGAATGGGTGGAAAAGGAAAGAGACGCAGGGAGACAGCGACGTCTTAACGCGAGACAGGAGATCCCCCATGGAAACTGGCTGCCTGGCCCTCTTCCCTCAGCACGCCCAGGAAGGATGTGCTGAAGCCGTCACCTTGGTTCTCACAGTGACGTCTATCAGGGATTTTCCCTTCCCAGGCCCAGTGAAAGGGCTGACCCTCCCTGACACCTCACGGGCACCTGGTGTAAGCAGAGTGAGGCGGTCCGGGGACTTCCCAGCATACAGGCTGTATCCTGAGGCTCTGCTTACCCCCGTGCCCCTGCTCACCCCCACGGCCACCCAGGGCCCTGCTCACCCCCACGGCCACCCAGGGCCCTGCTCACGCCCACGGCCAGCCGCAGCTGCTCCCGGCTGGGCAGCAGCACGAGGACATCCCTGTGCTCCGAGGCCATCATGCGATCTCCAGGGTCGGCTCCTGCGGCTGCACGCGGGCCTCTCAGGACTGGGCTCTGTCCGTTGCACCCCTGCAGGAGAGAACGTGTCAGGTTTATCTGGGTGGTCCTATGGCCCCTCCCTCTTGGGGGCACTGCCATGCTGTCGTTACTGGGCCCTCCCCAGCCACGGGTCGCAGGTGGGAGCTCAGCACCTCCCAGATCACAGCTGCACCTTCCGGGACCCACCCTTACCGAGCTTCTTGAGGGGAAGGGAACTGAGAGGGAGGCCTGGGCTAGGAATCCAGCATGGCCGAGCCAGGACAAGGGTCAGGGCTGCTAACAGCTGGGTGTGTGGCAGGCGCCTGGAATGCAGATAAACAACCTCAGCCTGGGCACTAGCCACACTGCACCAGTGCAGGGCGGCTCAGCACCCAGCCCCACGGAGGGGACCCCGTGAGACCCAGGCTGGGAGAGACATGACCCAACTCCCCCACCTGACATCCCCTGGCTCCTCGGAGGGCCATGCAAACCCCACAGGCACGGATGCCAGAGCCAGGGCTGCCAGGGTGATGGAGAAGTGCCGGGGAGGAGGAGGAGAGGAGGCAGGCAGCCTAGGTGGGCACCACGCCCCACACACCTCCTGTGGCATCTGCCACTGAGCTCAGGAAGCAGTGCAGCTCCAGTTCTTGGTCAGGTTCTCCCGGGAGGGACCCTGGCTCCCCTCAGGGACTGGAAACTAAGGACAGTTCCTTCCTTGCCTAGGGCCAGCAAACTCCTCCCTGCCTGCAGCAGCCAGAAGGCCAGGAGGGGGGTTCTGGCTCAGATGGACAGCAGCCAGGGGCATCAGCATGAGGGCTGGGGCATCACCCGTAGTGCCTGGCACCCTGGCTGCTGCTCACTGGGGATGAGCAACACCTTCGAGTTCCTGGGCGGAGCGTTAGGGTGGGGAAGGGAGGAGCCACCTGGCCCCGGGGGCACCCAGCTGCATCAGTTTCCTGCCATGGAGTCTGGGATGCTCTGAGACCTTCCTCTAGTGGGGGCCCTGGAGTTCAGGATGGGCAGTTGTTCAATCTCAGGAAATTCGCACTCCAGCTGCCCAAAGGCCTGGCCTAGTGGCTTTAGAAGATTTAGGAGGCTCAGGCCTCACCTTCCGCACCCCTGAACTGATACTGGCGACCCTCCCTCCCTCCGCTCAGATCCGGGCCCTCAAGCCTACACGTGCGTGCCCAAGACAGCAGCGGCAGTCTCTTTCCTCTCCACAGGAAACACAGAGCTGCTTGCCATGGAAGACGTGGGGATCCTTTTAGCTGACAGCAGAGGAGTTTTATAAAAAGCAAAAAGCAGCCCAGAGAGCACAGGCTGGATTCTCCTGGCCCTGGGGCACCGGCGCCTGAGCAGCTGGTCCCTGCATGGGGTGCCCTCAGCCGCCACCTTCAGTCACAGTGCCAGCCTGTCAGGAAGGATGGCGGCAGCTGCACTTCTCAGGGATGCCTGGGTGCAGCACGGTGGCACGGGGCTGGGGTTGGGGGGCAGAACACCATGGCCATGCACAGCATAGAGGGGACAACAGCAATCAGGACCCCTCGGTAGGGAGAGCCGGGGACACAGCAGGAGCTGTCCAATGACCAGTGCTGTGCTGGGCGTGCTCATGATCAAAGCGATGGTGGCCATGCATTGCAGGTGCTGGTGTGTGAGGGCGCTGGGGTGCTCCAGGTGACCTAGGGCCAGTGAGCTCCAAACATCACTAGTGAGAAGAAAAGGAAAAGGAATGGAAACTTCCACCTTCATATTGATAAACACAGTCAATGGCTTCTCGTCAAAGCAGGACGTGGCCCCAGCTCCTTCCTTCCCACCCAGGGTCTCAGGGCCACAGGACTGAGGCTCAGCTTCCAGTGAAGGCCACCGCCCATCCAAGGGCCAAGGAGAGCCGGGCTTGGGAAGCCCCCATCGCATTCCTGGGAGAGCATGGCTTCTTCCTGAAAATGTGCTGAGGCTCCAAGGCAGGGGTGGTTACCGTGAGTACCTCCCACCGGGCCACCGAGGGGACACCTTGGGGACCTCTGTCCTCAACTCATCAAGAAGACAACTTTGCCCTCTGAGGAAACAGAGGCGTGGTCAGGCCCCAGCACAGGCCCCACCTTGGAACATCTTGTCTTCTCAACTGGCCTGTTCGTGACGGAAGAGTCTGGCCTGCTACGTTCGTGGACAGACAGAGGCCACGAGGAAGACGAGGCTGCCACCCTGGTCCCTTCATGGCTGAGCCCTGGAGACCTCCTCAGCCCAATTCTCCCTTCTTCCAGACAGCTGGTTTCCATCCTCTATCACGAGATGGGCCTGCTGAGAACATTCTAGAACTCCAGCTTTGGAGACCTAAGTCCACTAAGCACAGCTTTCAGAAAACAACGCGGGAAAGGCCTTCCGCGATGGAAAGGCAGGCAGAACTGACACAGGCATGGAGCTAAAAACTCCTGCTGTGAGGGGGAAGCTGGACGCCAGAGGCCTGTCTCCACTCGGAGGCGTGCAGACAGCCAGCGGCAGGGGCTGCGGAGGGGCGAGGCCTCTCCCGGGGGCAGCTGGATGGCAGCGAAGGCTGTGTGGTTCCTAAATGCTCCCAAGTTTACTCAACGGTTCGCTTAAGAGGAATACATTTTACAGAATGAAAACTACACCTCAGTAAAGCTATTAAAACATACCATGAGTTATAAAATGGTAACACAAAAAGCCTTCCAGATACGGCAGCAAGTGCTCCCACTCCACCAGTGTGGGTGTGAATGCGAGACGCGTGGGCGTGTGCGAGGGGAGCATGCGTACGTGTGAGTGGCACGTGCGGCCTTCATGTCGGGGAATGCTGGGGCCGCCCGCCCCTCCTCCGCACCCTCCCCTGCACCATCAGGAACACAGACTGATCCTTTCCTGCATACCACAGAACCAGGCGAGCCCCTTTACCCACTCGGCTGCAAAGGCTGCCAAGGCTGCCACACCCGCTCTGTGACGAGGAGTCTAGGCTCAGAGGCCAGGCTGCGCAGTGAGTGTCTGGTCAGGGTCTCGCTCCACGCTCAGCCGCCGCCCCCACCATCCAGCCTACACTCTGCTCTCTCCCTCCAGCCACCTGACCCCACCTGGCAGAAATCCAAAGAGAAGCCAGGCGCCTGCTGGAAGGAGCCCAGGGCTGCCCGTTGGGTCCCTGGGAGGTCGCTGCTGCCCGTCAACACCGTGAGGGCATCTTGCTCAGTAACGCACTTCCTTTCCACAAGCATTTTCCCTGGAAAGGAATGTCGGTCAGAGGCAGCACATTTTGCTCCTTTCATAAGTAGGGAAACGGAGGCACACAGCAGCTAAGTGGCTTGTTCATGTCCCCAAGCCCCAAGATTCCTGAGACCTGCCACAAAGCTCCTTCCCGAATCTACTGATCCCCTCTTTGGAAATCATCTTAGAAGAGAGAGCTAATTCTTACGCTCATTCTTAGGAATGAACCGTGTAAGCCCGTCTTCTGGGATGACTGAGGATGGTTTTGGGAGATGCACGACCTGACTTTTCCTGCTCCACCCAAGGAGATGGTGCCGGGCCCACATGGGGTGCACAGGGGGGTGCAGGGCCTGGGTTGGGGTGCACAGGATCCTCCCCGCCCTGGCCCTTCCCTGGGCACTGCAGGGTCCAGGTAGGGTCGCTGGTGAGTGTCCCAGGCAGCCACGGGAGCTGAGGAACCCAAGCCTGGCCCAGGGCAGACACTCTGGGGAACCTCCTCACTGTGGCGAGTTTACAGGTGGAGCCCAGGAGGTGCTTGCCAGCAAGGAAGGAAGAGGGCAGCTGGAGACGCTCTTCGGACAGCGAGGGGCCGCATTTGTTCCACCTGCTCAGACCTTGTAGAGACCACGACCACCCTCAGCCTAGTAAGCAGGGTGCGAGGCGCGGGGCCCGAGCCCATCACCGTGTCCGTGGCTCTAGCTTCTTGGTCTTCCGAACTGACCTCTGGCTGTTCAGAAAGGTCAGTGACGCACGGCCTGGCGTCTCTGCTGCCTCGGCCAGGATGGGCGCTGGAAAGGCCATGACCTGCCTGCCTTATTTATCTGAACAGCAAGGAGGGCACCGCATTCCTGCAGGGGAGGCAGCGGAGCCGGCGGGAACCGCCTGACCGAGCTTCAGGAAGTGATTCAGAGAAAGGAGCGGCTGTGAACCAAGGGCCATGAAATCAGAACACACTCCCATCTACCTGAATGAGGGTTAAGTAACAAATCAACCCAAATGGGAAGGAGACAGAAGGCCGCCTGTTAGAACACTCCACGGGAGGAGGGCCTGAAGAGCAGCCCTGCACTCCCCATCAGATGGGCACGGAGCGGACTCGAAAGGTCCCTCTGCCACTTGGGAGGTAGGGCGGCCTGTCCCAGGGAATGGGGTCGGCAGGGCTGGGGCCCCGGCCTTCAGGGATGGACAGCCTCGCTGGCAAACACGCACCGGTCTGGGGTGCGGACGGTGGGACGTCCGTCCTGTCCCAGGCTGGGGAAGACCGCAGAGGCAGGATGGCCAGAGGAGGCTTATCGATGGCTTCTTTCCTGCTCTTTTTGGTGAAATGGGAGATCTCTCCCTTTCCAGCCTTCAGTGTGAATCAATTTACTTGTTACAAAGTCTCATCTTATTTAAGGCTTCCTAAATGAGGGTCTCCAACAGCTGGCCCCTCTTCTGAAGCCTCATGGAGGACCTGGGGAGAGAGCGTACCCCGTGTCCTGCAGGTCCAAACCTAGGGAAGAAAGGCCTGCAGCTTCTAGCAACCCCCACGGCACCCAGGTGCAGCTGTGGGGTGTCTTCCTGGGAGAAGGTGAGAGACAGCAGGTGGGGTGAGGACACCCCGATTTCAGGTGTCTGCCTCTTCCCTTTGCAAACAGTCACCCCCGGGAGCTCACCAGCTTCTGGGGATTAGCCTGCAGCATCACGAGGGCGTGATCGGGTCATGATGGACAGTGTATTTGTGTGTTGTGAGTTAAACACGTTAACTGCTGAATTAAAAAAGCCGCAGAGATCCGACAATTACAAAATGCCCCTCCTGACATCCGTTAGAGGACAAATCCCAAAAAAAGGGGGCTGGACGGCAGGGATTGCCGGGTACGCCCTGCACCAAGAGGAAAACCCCACGGCTGCGAGTCCTGTGGGAGAGGTGCCTCAGGCTTGGTCCCCACACTGCCTCTTCCCGGGGGCCCTCCCTGTGCCATGCCCCGCTGCCTTGAACTCCCCTGCCCTTTGGAATTACCGCAGGGTGGAACGTCGTAGGGAAAAGCCCTCTTGCCCCTTCTGTGTTACCCTCCCAAGACCAAGGCCGACCCTGAGACCGGAC